ATTTTTTCCCTAGAGGGCACATTTGTCATAGTGGGGGAAGGAAAAAGTCTCCCCCTCGATGGGGATATTTTCATGCCACAATTCTTGCTCTTCATTTCTCAGTCCAGTCAGGATTATGGGCATACACGTGTGCCCAGCATTTTTTTCAAGCCTCCAGGGCTGAGATTCAGAACATCTCATCAGCCATGTGGGATCTAGCTTCCTTAACCATTAGGCATAGGGCTGGCCCCCAGACCAAAATTTTTAAGTGTAATCACCTTCGGTTTCCTCCATCATGGGGTAAGAGGATTATATATTTAACAACAACAACCACAAAAACAAACAAACAAAAAACACTAAAACTTTGTTTGCAACCTTCTAGCAGCTTTAGCTTATTTAGCATATATCCTCTTCATCTGTTTTACTCTTGATGAGACTGGGAATGACATTTTTTGTAAATTATTTGTTGAATCATACGAAATTCTTGATATTCAACCACCTTTGATGTTTAAAAACAGTAGTTTCATGTGGGTTAACCTCGTATTTCCTGCTATCTCTTCCTTTTCCTGCCGACAACGGATTCCTCTGTGAATTAAGGAGGGATGGAGAAATGGTCTACTCAATCAAAAGAATCCAGCATCCGACAGAGATTCTGTAGTTCAGTCCTCCCCCCTCAGCCTGCAGTGTTTAAGCTGCTCATCTCTATCTGTAACGAACTGACATTTGAATATACTACTCTGTACCCGTCAGAAACTGACATTTTACCTTGACCAACACAGCTTTAAGTCAGAAATTTCAGTTTATGTCAGATATTTTCTGAAGAGACTGTGTCTCTCAGTACTATATTTACCCAATATCTGGCTAAATCCAAAGCTTCAAAGTAAGTTTAAGATGGTTTTATTCTACCTAAGACACCCACTTTGTCCTTACCCCTGCCCCAACACACACACTGTGCAAATGGATTTATACAGAATCATTGAAGGAGGCTTCAAAAGTTCATGCAAAATGCACAGTAAGGAAAAATTAACTGCAGATTTCAAAAAATGTTTTGCACCAAAATGAACCCGTACTTTACATTTTTCCATAAATTTTTGAAGTCTCTTTGTACATGTTCTTACACTCACACACATACATATACACATTTATGCATGCACACTTAGACCCACACAAAGAAGGGTCTAAGTTTGGAAGAAGACAAGGCTAGTGTCAGGGATGCCATCTCTTTTTTATACTGTTTATCTACAAAGAATGCAAGTGGGCTCAGTGTTGGAACACAGAAGCTTGCTCACTGGGGAGTATCTGAATACAAGCATTGTTTTTAGAGTATTTATGTATAATTTTAAATATCTGATGATAAAGTAAACTGAACTCCTTTTAAGAACAGTATTCCTGAATACCGTTTTAATGAGGTTAGGGTATGAGGAGCAGCACTATCAAGCAGCTGATGCTGAATCCCTTCAAGGCAGTGAAGACTATTAGATCAGAAGGCCCCCTCCTCCTCACATCTTTTATACTTTCTTTTATCTCTCATCATTATCTTCTCTCAAATTCTTCCCCAACAACTTCTTCTGCAAAGTATGTTTTTGTCACTTAATATATTCTTTTGAACTTCACACTTGATTCTGCTCTGTATAATCTGGTGCTGTGTCCTCGCATGCCTTGACTCACAGAATCAGAAACTATACCATTCTCCAAACACTCCAAGGGTTCATTTAGTGTTGCATTCCTAAATAAAATTAGGAAATAGATGAATGATTAAATGATGAGAGGGACTGATTTATGAATGAAAATGGAGAGCAACAAATTCTTCTCGATAGGAAAAGTGGTAAGGAAGAGGGTCTGTGGCAGCTGTCGACAAATGTTGGACAAGCAAGCCTTAGAAGGAAACCGCCTCAAGTGCCATACAGCGTGCATCAGGTAGGGGTAATGACAGGAAAACTTTTTTTTAAATTCACAGCCATATGACCATGTGAAATTAAGGAACAGAAAATATATGGCCAGTAAAAAATCTCAAATTTTGGGACCAAAGGATGATGTAATTGTTATGTCGCTGGACTCCCACGTAGTCGACCGCAGTTCGAGCCCTGGACCTGGTAGCTTAAAACTCCCACCAGGCATGTGTGCATGTGCCCAAAATCCCAAGAAGAGATTGGAGGAGAAGGAATTGTAGCATGGCCATCTCCCTAGGGGGGTGATTTCTTGCTTCCGTCTCTTTGTCTCTCTGGTGAGCATTCATACCCTATAGCAAAAATCTCTCAAAAAAAAATCTCAAATTTGGAGTGTGTTTTGGGGCAGGAAACCTTTATTATTATTATTATTATTATTATTATTATTATTTATTGATAATAGAGTAATAGTTCACAGAAGTGAGGTGGGGAGAGCCCAGCATCTGGTCACACAATGATCCTTCTTCTCCAGCCTGCCAGCCCATGAGACCATAGGTACTCACAGGCATGCCTTATGCGTCTTCAAGAAGATCAGACTCAGGATTTGAACTATGATGATCACGTGGGATCTAGCTTCTTCTAAGCAGTGCATTACCACTGTACCATGGAACTAGCTCTAGAAAATATTTTTAAATATCTTAATAAAAACTCAGCTGTACCTCAAAACAAAACAAGGTGTCAGCCTTACTTAGACTAACCTATGCCTTTCAACTTGTTTTTTGTTTGTTTGTTTGTTTTTTTGCCAGAGGAAGCCTGAACTTGCCAGAGAGAAACAGTGGGGAGGGGGAGAGGGACAAAGCACTATCCCCACCATTTGGGCATAATCATGCTATAACTCCTTTGGGATTATGGGCATGTACAGGCCTGTACACACGTGTGCCCAGTGGCCTAGTGTATTCTTCAAGTCGCAGAGACTAGGACGCAAACCACACCATTGGCTATGTGGGATCCAGCTGCCTAGACCACCAGGCCATAGAACTGGCCTTACACTTTTATCTTCAGTACCCTCTTCCTAAAGTTTCTCTTAAATCTCAAATGCGACAGCATAAAAAGTTGGCTCCTGCTCCATTGCTCTCGGAAACAGCACTTTCTTATAGGGCTCTTCTCATTTGCTGACATGTGTTACCTAGCTGTTAAACCGGAGCAAACCAAGTGCTGCTTTAACTTGAAATACCTGCCTGTGGTGCTCTCTGTACAAGACTTATGCTGGGGTTTCCTATGAGCTTCTTTTCTATGGTGTTACAAACCTGGTCTCATTTCTGCCCACCTGACTGCTGCTAATAATTAAGTGATCTATTTTGAGTCTTCTCAAGAAAGTATCAAGCAGAGATTTTGGGAAAGTTCCTTATTCTATATGAGTGCATTTTTTAACCTATAAAATAAATGTTACTACTATTGTTAGGTATTTAGCAATAAATGTTAGAAATAATATATATGTGTGTGTGTGTGTGTATGTGTGTGTGTATATTATAATGGGTCTATAGTATACACTCAATGGGAATAGCTTTTTTATTCTCATTAAAAGTTATATTTATTGGTACAGATGTCTTAACTTCTAGATTATATTCTCTAAAGTGCCTCGTATGTTGCAGATGGTCAGTTACTATAACTGAATAGATGGATAAATCAGTAGAACAATGCTAATGATTATAAATTACAGACTATGCATGCACTCCTATACATACACAGTTGTTGATCAACCATGATGCCAGCACAACTCCACCCTGTCATGAATCAGCCAGGACAGTGTCATCCTACCCACTGCGTGTTCAATTCCAGAAGTCTATTCTGGATGTAGGTTGGTACTAAAGTCTTCCAAGGGCTAGATTGTTTATAAGCCCTCCCAGGAAACCTCAGTCCAGTTTAAAAGAGAGGAAAATCAACATCAGTACCTGACTTTATTCCAACCTTAAAATAATAAAAGAAAACTTCAGTGTATTCAAAAAGAACTTATGTACCATGTATCAATGAATTTACAATGAATTAAGTGAATTTCTGAAGACGAACCAATTGCCTCTATGTCTGTACATTTGACCACATACTCTCCCAAATACAACTGAGTATAACACTGTGATGGCGATAGTAGCTACCATTTAATGAAGGCAGCGGTGTGTTTGTGTATTCGTGTGTGTCTGTATCTGTCTGTGTGTGAAAGAAAGAGAGAGAGAGATTTTCATGGTCACAGTAATCCTTGAGTTGGATTTGCTTTTCCCACTTCCCATGAGAGAAACTCAGAAGCTCAGGCATGAAATATCTTCCCCAGAGCAGTGGACAGGTGACCCATGACATCTGCATTTTCCCTGGAAGTGGTTGCCTTACTCCTGGCAGCAGCAGTTTGGGGCCCCTTGGAGATAGGGGCATGGGCACAGAATGTGATGGAGACAACGGATCAGCTGTAGAAGGAAACAGGTCATTTTCCCTGGTAGACCATTCTGTCCACAGCCTGTTGTTAGGCTCCAACAGAATCCAAGATTCAAAATTCATCCTAGGCTGTTGTGAGGGGCAAGAGAGTTGGATGGCCTGGGCTAAAGTCTCTCCTCTTCCACCTCCGAGGTGTTCCTTTATTTCCAAAGCACCACTTCCTAGCAAGTGTCAGAAAAGCCGATATGGTGATCCTGGATTCATGAATATTAATACATGAAAGCGTAATAGTCTCTGAAGCTGATAAATATTTTTAGTTATCCACAGTTTTGTAATCTAGGTAGCCAAACCAAGGCATGAATATTGGATAGCTCAAATTTGGAATCAAGTATTCTGTGACATTTTCATGCTCCATTAGACACACATCTCTTTCCTATCGTTAGATTGTGTTTTATTTTTTAAGTTTTAAAATTGTAAATGCCACATGTGCTGATGAATCTACCTAAGAGAGCCGGCTGACCCATGTCCGTGGTTCTAGAACCTGAGATTTTCTTAAACGTCAATATGAAAAGAAACTTACATGAGTGTGTTCAGTAAGAGAAGAATGTCTCTATTCGGTTTTTAAATATTAGATGTGAGTCTGTTCCAGTGACAATGGACTCCTGATTTATCACTGTAAACTGACAGCTGTGCTCGCATTTTTATACAAACCAGCGCTTTTGGCTGCCCGTACTCGGACATGAACTTGAAAAAGGAGGCAACACTTCAGGATCGTCTGAGAGAACAAGCACAGGCAAATTTGGAATCAGACTGTTCACATTCAAAATCAAAAAACCTCTGTAGTTTAAACTTCATTGGGAATCATGAAAAGGTGAACAGCCAGCCCAGGTAAGAAACTTCTTGAAAACGTGAACCAGAAAGTAACCATGTAAAATATAGTAAAAGAACAAATGTGTTAATAATAGTAGTTCCTTATATATTTTTTCCAAATAATTCTTTTTATTTACAAATATTATGTTCACCAGTTCACAGAATTCATCTAAGGCTTGATCTTCATTTTTGCAATATTTCTATGGCTGCATCTTTAAATGTTTGAATGGCCTTTTTCTGAATGTGCATATCATACATAAGCAATAGAAAGCATATCTAATTTGTACAATTCTAAAAGATGCCTTTTTATTTTGAAAATGTCTTTATCCTTTGGAATTGTGTCGTAGATGTTATCTCTTTTGGCACATGGTCAAGTATTTGTATTTCTTTAGTGATCAGGATTTCCTGTTACTTGTCTTTGTCATTTTTAGTCCAAACATACCTCAGATACGATTCCTTTGTACTACGAGCAGTTTTCATTTTGATTTATCAATAACACATCATCCTTTTTAAAATACAAACTTACAATTTTAAGTACCAGTTTTTAATTTTTATTTATGTACATCTATTTTCCAAGGGGCTACAAATGCAAACTTAGTTGATATTTTTTACTCCAAACAAGTTCATCTAAATAACATCTTTTCTCCAAAGAGCTTCATACTCCATTTGGGGAATTATAAACACAGGAAAATCTTGCACTAAGTAAATAACAAGACCAGACAGATTGAGTTAAGAAAGGCTAGACCAAGCAAGTGAGAAGTGGGCGTTTTCCAGACCCCTCTGTGGCAGAAGGCAATTACCTTCAAGGTCTTGAGGTGCTTAGCCCTGCGTCTTTGAGCTTTGAATGGGCTGCTTCTCTTAGACATCAGGGCCTTGTTCTTTCCACTCAGCATGTGTAAAATGATGAGCACAGGCCTCTCTGTAGGTACACTTTCCACTAGAATAGCTCTGCCTATTTACCCCTCCCTCTCAGCAGGGGCGGTAACTCCTTCACTCCCAAGGCACACCTGTTCGTTGGGAGAATTTGGCTTGCAGAATACACTTTTCACATGGATTTTATCCCAGAATGTGGATTTTGATCTTTTTTTTTTTCCATGCAAATGCTGCTTTAGAGCATTTGGGTGACATTTCATTTTTGTTAAGTAGCTTATTTTGGTTTTGATCGCTGTGCACATGACTGCAGACTCACTCTGTTCTGTTGCATGATCTATTTCCTATGGATACCCATGCCTCTCTATTTTTGTAGCTGTATCTTGCATTTTTATTATTTGTTATACACCCACTCCTCTTGTTGAAACTTCACAGGGTCTAGTTGTTCTTTACTGCCTTTTTCACACCCACACTGTTTACAACTTTAAGTAGTTGAGAACTTGAACATCCTTTCCATTTCCTGATTGAGAGAATTTTTTCTTTTTTTTTTTTTTGAAACTGCTTTCCAAATAAGAGTGCTTATTTATTCCAGAACCAGAGACCAGTACGTCTGTTCTCCCTATTCATTTTGCTATATACTCTGTTGTACTTTTTTTTTTAAATAGAAACACAGTCTCTCCCATAAATATTTTTAGACTGTCAATGTCAAAAGTCACAGAAACGAAATAGAACTTTGAGCCTCTTAAATAAGATTACTATGCTGTTGGACTTTCTTAGAGGTTAGTTATTCACAGATATATTGCCTCTCTTATCTTGAACACCTTAGGAATTTCCCTGTAATGTTCAATATATTATTATGTATTTTACCATTTTTTAAGAGACTGTGTACTGAAATATTGATATGTCAGATAATTACTGTGGATAGGAAGAGTAGGGAATGTTAACTGCTAATCAAACTGAACTATCATGGATGATCTTATTTAGCCAAATCCTATTTCATTTAGGTGTAGAACTGTTTGAACAGCTGGAGGAGCGGAAGAGTCCTATAGAACACATCCTTGGTGAATCCTGAAACCTTCTTTTGCATTCAGGTCTCAAAACCAAAGCCGTCCTTGCACTCCAGTCCCCACCTAGTGTTTTTTCACCAGTCATTGTAGTCATGTTTAAAAAAGATCGGTAGTACTAGCAGCTGGGCCCCCTCTGAATCTCCTCAGTCTCCCTCACATCCTGTTCATGGTCTTGAATTTCAGGGTGGGGTGGAGGAGAGATCAAGAAAATCAACAAAGAGTAATATGTAGGCAAATTATGCACACATAAAATACATTTTAACTTTCCCACTCTTTACTTGTAATACTTTCCTGAAGCTGCCTATTCCTCTATTACAGATCTTTGTTCTTGAAACCGCAAGCTATTAGATACAGGTAGAGAAGAATGTTTAAATATTCTCTTTTCTTCTGCATATTGTGGAAAAATACTTTTCACTTGGCTCCTATCCAGGCTTGGAAGGGTGGGTGCTTTAAAGTAGTGAACGTGAGAACCACACTTTATACTCCACTCATCTTGAGCTCTGGGCAGGCCATCTATAATTTATTTTTACAAGCATCAACTGTCACCTTAGAATTTCCAAACTTCTGGGAACAGCAGTTGGCATAATGGCTATGTCGCTGGACTCCCATGTAGTCAACTGCAGTTTGAGTCCCAGACCTGGTGGCTTAAACTCACGCCAGGCACATGTGCGTGCGTGTCCAAGATCCCAAGAGGAGAATGGAGGAGAAGGGATGGCGGCGTGGCCATACCCCCGGGGAGTGATTTCTCTCTTTCTGTCTCTCTATCTCTCTCTTGTCTTTCTGGCACGTACACATGCCCTATAGCAAAAACCTCTCCAAAAAAAAAAAAAAAAAAATTCCAGACTTCTTGCAATTTAGATGTAAAATGTGAAATGAACTCTTTTTTGATATTATTTCAAAGTCAATCAGACATTATCCAGAAATTTAGAAAATCTTGTTTTTTTTCTTAATGGCATCTCAGTTTTATAATTATTTTTATAAAATATGTTTGCTCTTATATTCATCTTTGTAGATGGGATTATGATGTCTTTATTGCATGATTGAGTAGTTGAAATCACCCATTTATGTTCCCTATTTTTTTAGTGGAGGGCTGCATTTTAAATTTGAGTAGATTATATACTACTACTTGTTTACAAGATTTACCTTCCTGACAGTAAATATACAGGTGATAGTAACTACAGAGTATGACTTACAGTTGGTTACTATTTCTGAAAAATATAGAGATACTTCTTCTTTCTTTCTTTCTGCTGATACAGTGAGTGATATTATATGGTGATTCATTAAATGGAGGCAAATGGGCTTATATTTGAGTTATTTCACTGGGTATATACTCTTGGAGAGGGGATACCTTTAATATGTTTAGAAGATTATACACATTATCTTTGAAGTTTCCCATAATCTTGTGATTTATGCAAAACAAACATTGTCATCATAGCATTATCATTTAGGTGAGGAAAGAGAGACCCTTAGTAATAGCTGATCCGTGATCCCAGACATAAGTCTTATGATTAAATTTAGTGGGTTTCTAGTACAATCGACTACTACTAACACCACTAGAAAGCTCAACAGTAGTAACTATTCCCTGCCAATAGCTTACTGGGGCTGCAAAGCATTGTGCTAAACAATTTACTTACTTCATCTTGTTAATTTGATTTCATTCTCATTAACAGCCCTTTATGTGGTAAGTTTTCTTGTTCTGATTTTATCATGTAGGCACTGGAAGGTTCAGAGAGGCTGGGCGGTATTCAAGATCACACAGCTAAAGCAGTAGAAAAGTAGGAATGTGAGTGCAGAACTGCCACATGCAAAACCTCATGCATGTTTCAACTACATGAAGTTAGCAAAGGAATGGCAGGTCAAGGCTTTGGAAGTCTTGGCTGGATTTATGTTTAAGTCACTTTCTATCTCAGCCTAGGATTCTCCAGGTTATCTTGGGGAGCGTTTGTTTCTCATTTTATAAAAGTAGAACCACTGAAGGGAAAGAATTTTACCATTTTTCCCCAAAACTGTTTATTCTTATTTATACCATATGCATTTTCTACCTTTTATACATTTTTTTTTTTGTAAAATACTAATGGCTTCTACCTGCAACAAGAGGATTAAATTACAGTCATCAAAGCATTGTGATCATAAAGAAAATTACTTTGGAATACAACTGCCCTCCCTATATTATCTATTAGCTGGCTTCCCCAGGCCTGAGGAGAACCATTATTTTAGACATTTTCCACCCCCTTAAGTGTTCTTTAATAGCTTATTTTGGCTCTCCAACTCAGCGTTCAACATATTCTAATTCACACAATTCATAGCACCACCATTCATTAAAATATCTGTCCTATTCAATCAATTTTATTAAGAAAATGCCCAGTAAAGCTTGCTTTGTTATTCCTGGTGCCTGCCGTATTATAAATTTACGTAGTTCTTAAGAGCCAACATTGGTAATAAAAATGGTTGAAGACAACGATGTTAATCAGAGAGAAAGGCACGTAGTGGAACAGTTCCTTAATTATCCTGATAATAAATTGCACTACCGTGAACCAAGTACATTTGTTTCCACTGCTCAAATTAGCTTCAAAATAAACACCTTCCATGAAGGCCATTCTCAGAATTATAACAGTATTAGTGGGTTATTCCACCTTTCAAACTTCCAAGTTTGGAAATAGATTGTCTTTAATCCCTCAGGCTTTCTCTGGGTTCTTCCCGTAGTTCTCCACCTGGGGAGGAAAAGTCCACTCAGTGTACCCACTTGCTCTCCGTCATTACTGCAATATTGTTTTTATTCCTGTGCTTTCGTTCCCATCCTTTGGACCTTGTTTATTCCTGTCTGCATCTTCTTCCTTCCCCAAGGCTCATCCCAGTATTGAGGTTGTAGCAGTTCCAAACTATATGCGCATCTAGCGGTTAGAGATTGTGTTTCCAGTTTCTCTATTTCTATAGCCTAGTGTAATTTTCAAACATTAGTAGGCATTCAACCTATTAAATCAATTTCGAGCAACCATTGTGTGTCAGGGACTATGACAGGCTCTGAGACAGAGAGTAACATAAGAGACAGTCTTCTTCCCTGCTCTCACCCTCCTCTGTCCT